GCTGATATTAGATGGATTTTGGCTGAAAGCAAAGAATACCAGAAGGATGTCTATTTTTCTTTCTTGATTATGCAAAGGCATTTTATTGTGTAGATAATAACAAATTATGGCTAACATTGAAAAGACTGAAAATCCCAGAATACTTATTTGTGCTCATGAGAAACCTAAACAAAGAAAAAATAATTACAGACAGAACAAGGCAACACTCAATGCTTTAAAATCAGGAAAGATATGTGTCAAGGTTGTACCTTTTCTGAATACCTATTCAATTTGTATACTAAGCAAATAATTCAAGAGGCTGGGCTTTATGAAGAACAGTTATGGCATCTGCCTGTATCAAAGGAAGACTCATCACCAAACTGCATTATGCAGATGACACAACCTTCCTTTGCAAAACTAAAGAGGACTTGAAACACTTGCAGCACAAGATCAAAGACAACAACTTTCAGTGCGGATTACATATCAACATTAAGACAAAAATCCTCAATACTGGGCAAACATCATGACAGATCGAGACAAGATTGAAGTTGTCAATTATTTCATCTTATTTGAATCCACAATCAACACCTGTGGTTGCAGCAATGAAGATATCGAAAGAAGTAGTACATTGGGTAAATCTGTTAATGAGAACCTCTCTAAGATGCTAAGGAGCAATGATGTCACTTTAAAGACCAGGGTATTTCTGATTCAAGCCAAGGTCTTTTCAATCACTAAATATATATCTGTGAGCTGAAACGGAATAAGGTTGACAGAAGAAAAATTGATGCCTTTGAGCTATGATGTTAGAGAAGAGTATTGAATAATCCATGGACTGCCAAAAGAACAACAGATACATTTTGGATAAAGTGTGTCCAGGGTGCTCCTTAGAGGTGAGGATATCAAGGTTTTGTCTCACATAATTTGGGCATGTTGTAGAAGGGAGTATTTCTTGGAAAATGACATCATGCTTGAAAAGATGGAGGATCAGCAAAAGAAAGTAAGACCTTCAATGAGACAAATTTACATAGTGACTACAACAATGGGCTCAAGTATGCCGGAGATTATGAGAATGGCCAGGGTTCAGAACTGTCGTTCACAGGATCACTCTATGGCATCTAACAACATTTCTAACAAATTTTTGCCCAAACTCTGTATCTCGAAGTCTGATTCTAAATAACACAACTTAAGATAAGTAATCAACCAGAATATACAAGTGCCAAGTCTACAAAAGGCCTTTGTTATACCAGTAGGCAAAACCAAACAACTGTTGTTAGGCACCTGTCAATTTGACTCAGACTCATAATGACCCTATGAATAGTATATTAAACTTTAGAGATGTTCTTAACAGCAGATTTTCTTAAAACATCACGTCTTTTGACTGAAATATAATTGTGGGGTGGTATGATCTGCACACAGCCTGGGTTAGCCATCTCAGTGTGCCCTGTAGCCTCCGCGGTGTTATATCAGACGAGACACTTAGCTCTTTATTTCCCATTGCATGCATGTTTTATGATATTTGTACCCTTGCTTGTTTTATAGCTTGCTCATGTTCTTCCTCATATATAGTTCAGCTTCTTGAATAATTTGTTCAGCATATAAACAGAATAGATATGGATACTATCTTGAGGTACACATTTCCTGATTTTACACCAAGCAGTATTTCCCTGTTCTTTTTAAATGACTGCTTCTTGATCTACATATGGTTTCACATGAGCACAATTCAGTATTATAGAATTCCCATTCTCCACAATGCTATCAATAATTTATTATGATCACAGAGTGAAATGCCTTTGCATAGTTAATAAACATAAATGAATAACGTTCTGGTAGTCTCTGCTTTCAGCCAAGATCCTTCTGACATCAGCAATGCTATATCTTTCTGTTCTTCTTGCCTCTTCTAAATCCAGCTTGATTTTCTGGCAGCTCCTTGTCAATGAACTTGTTCCAGGCATCTTTGCATAATTTTCCATAAGATTTTATTTGCGCAAGATATTAAAGATGTTGTTATTATGTGCCATTGAGCCACTTATGACTCATCACAACCCTATGTATAATAGCTCTGAATCCTGTCCTATCCTGAGCCTATCTCACACCTTTCTCCATTACCCTAATTACTCTGTCAATCCATCTTGTCTGGGGTCTTCCTTTACTGTGCTGTCCTTCCAAGGACCGGTCCCTCCTGGCCACGTGCCTAAAGTATGTGAGATGGAACTTCAAAATCCTTGCTTCAAATGACCAGCCTGATTTCACCCTCTCCAGGACAGATCTATATGTTCCCTTGGCAGTCCTTGGTATGTTAAATACTCTTCTCCAGAACCACAACTCTAAGGCATTGATTTTTCTTCTATCATCCTTATTCATTGACCAGCTTTCTGATGCATAACAAGTAATTGTGAATATCATTAGTTGGACCAGACACACCTTAGTCTCCAGACATTGTTGCTCTGCAGGACTCTAATTTCCACCTTATTTTGGACTATAGTACTTATCTGCCAGTTTGCTGTACTCAGGCACACGGTGGTGACTTGTGTACTGCTGCTTATTTTACTTTGAACAAGTGCATTATAGTTTTCTAAGTATAGCATTTAACTGTCAGTTTGCTGTACTGAGGTGACTGAGTTCTGTTTTACTGTAATACAGGATGACAAATGGTATATCAAATACCAAGAGGGACACCCATGTGGACAGTTTCAGTGGAAGCCAAAGAAGAAAGTAGACGGTACTGGCAACCAAATTCATAAATCACATAATGCTACCATAAAATGAATCTTGGAAGTTATCTAGGACAAACTGCTCTATTTGCAGACAAAGAATGTGAGGCAGAGAATAAAAGTGGTATTCCTTAGTAGCTAATTAGGTGAGAAAACCTGAATCAGAATCCAGATCTTCTGCAGCTGTTAGGCAGAAACTATCATTTTATCACTTCCCAGGAAACCTCAGTAACTTGTGTAAATCAAACCAAACTTTTAGAATTTTGGAGTCTATCCTTCACTGTGTCCTCATGGTCTAAGAAAAAAGGCCACTTAACCTTTGAATCATCCACAGAACAGAAGAGTTGGGACTGAATCAAGATGGTAACACATTTTGTTAACAAATACCATAAAATCAGACTCTTCCTTTAATGGCAAAACTCTATATACACACCTACATGTAACACTGGAACAAATTTCAGGCAGTATGATAGGCACCAAGTTCACAAAACTAAACACAGTTCACAGACTTTATTTTTTTTTCAGTGTAGTATGACACCTTAATTGTTATGAAAAAAAGTTATTAAAAAGTTAGCGTATATTTCTTGACCTTGTTGTGGAGTGAGGTAAACTCAGTGTTAAGAACTGTGAAGTGGATGTTTTAACAGGCTATGTCCTACTAGTTTCTTAAACTGACTTTAATTTCTCTGGTTTAAAAAAAATCCTATAACATTTTCATACAATATAACCCCATATTATTATAAGAGTTCTCCACTCCAATTTCATTTCTAGGCACATCTTGACTGGAATTAATGTTAATACCAAATCTGTAATTTAACAAAAGTTTGAGAACATGGTTAGTCACATACTCAGAATCTCCTCAACATTTAAGACCTAAACATGTTAAGAACTTGATTACTGTTAAAACTTTTGCCAGTTCAGTCAATTACGTCAGCATTTTTCAGAAGGTATGTCAGTACTGAGTTAATCAGTAAGTAAATAGAAACAAATGAAGGATTAGGAAAGAGATTTCTCAAAACACTTTGGTACTATAGCAACTCATTATGTACTGGAACGTATTCAAGATTTTGCCCAAACGCTTACGTTAACTGAAAACACTGCTCTTTGCTCTTAGGAGAGGCAGTGCTTTGCAAGACCTTAAGTCCTCATACTAGGGTCCAGTGGCTTAATTTCAGGCTTTTGAGAAGGTTACTGCTTCACTAGTTTCTTCTGGCAGTTATTAATTTCTATTAAATAAAAATAGGAAGATAGCTTAAGAAGTACTGGGAAATATAATGGATATGAAAGAAAATACTGAAAATGGGTAAACATAGAAGGATGACCACTGGAAATGAAAAAAATAATATATGTCACCAGGGGCCTTCAGATAGCTAGGGCCTACCTAAACAAAGGACAATAAAACTTTTTTGATGTGCAATAGAATGTTATCATGGACAGGGAGCTGCTATCTTGTCACTTTCTAGGAGTAAGAAAATATATTGGCTGCAACATAGGGAGGTTTTCTGGAGTAGGGGGCAAGTTGAAGAGGCTTCCTGGGGACTCTGTTCATCTTGGGAGCTACCTAAAGACATAGCATACTAACTTAGTAAACACTTTAATGAGCAAAAGAAGAAAACATATAAATAAAATGATGCTAAGACTGGTTGTCTACAGAAATTAGAACTGGTAAAGAGATTCCTGGGTCAGCAGCCTACAAGATGTCTTCCTGTTGGTCTGAAGGTCTACACCTCTCTCTCTCTCTCTCTCTCTCTCTCTCTCACACACACACACACACACACACACACACACACACTCTCATGGACCATTTAGAGTGATTTCATCCCAAGATGCTCTAAGCCATCAGGCTCTACACATTTCTAATTGATCATTCCCTAAGGACTATGGAAAGCACATTTACAGGCTAAGTCTTTAAACTTACTCAGCAATCCCAGTGAGAGTTTTAATGCTTAGCTTCTGAAATCACTAAATATTTTAAATTAAAAGTGACAAAAACATGGCACAGGAATAGTTTTTGGAAAGAGAAAAAGAAATAGTTTCTGATGAACACTTCAACTTCGTGAAACGAAGAGGTTGCTCACACTACTTTATTCTCTCAATTAAAACACATTAACCGACACAGACAAGATGTAAATTGATCTTACAGATGAATTAGGTGTTGCATTTGGCTTGATTGTTTTCATTTTAACATTGATGGAAATCAATCTGATGGGTTAAATCTAGTGTATTTTAGGAAGATTCAGTGAATAGCCTTTGATTTGCCATTAGTTTCCTTTTGACAAAGCAGGAAAAGAGTAGCATGAGTTTAAAGCTTCAGAGTCGATTTAACATCTTGAATTTGTGCACCACAAACCACAGGACAGTTATTGATGTTGAAAACCCCATAATCTTCAGCAGACCTGTCACTGAAGGCAAGTTCCTCTCCCAAAAGGAATGGGTTATTTCCATAGATGGTACATCCTACATGAAAGAACATAAAGAATTAGAATAAATCTCTTGCACTGGCAAGGAGGAACAAGGTATATTTATAGAACTAAGTACATATATTCCGTGGATAGCTGAACTTACAATTAAATCACAGTCTTGTAGATGAGAGATGAAATGGGAGTTTTAAATGGAGTATCTTACCTTTGATTCTGGTTCATGCACCCAGATGTCTCTCTTGGCCACCTTTCCCAAAGCATTCAAGACCTGAAAAAAGTGATCATAGTATTATGAAATGAAGTTCTATCATTGAAACAGATTCAGGGCTCTGCTAGACATAGAAAAATCCCAAGGTTGAGGGGCAGATAAGCAGACAGAATCCAAAGCCAAGAACTAGGAAGTCCAGACATTAGTAGTGTGCTGTGACTCCTCAGAAGGAACAGAGTCTCAGCTTTTCCGTTACCTCTCTAGCTGCCCTTTCCCCAGCCTCTACTGCTCCTTCCATGTAGCCGCTCCAGTGTGTGGCTGTCTCAGTACCAGCAAAGTAAATCCTATCCACTGGCTGGCGAATCACTCTTAAAAAGAACAAACAAGTGACAATGAGTTCGCTGAGAAGGTGCTGAGATAAATGAATCAATCACTACCACAGTTTACCACACAAAACAGTAGAAAGCTCAGATTGTTTGGGTTTTTCTTAATAACAAACAAACTAAAACCAACCATACAAAAGTTTAGCCAAAGGTGAAAATGTATTTTCAGTTTCCTGGGTTTGCACCCAAGAATCGGAACATACAAGTCAGAAGGAATCTGGTTGTCAGATCAATCACTAAAAGTGAGATTGATTCCCCTTTCTCCTCCTCCATTCCAAGTTAGCCAAAATTGTAATAGAAGCACACACATGCACTGAACCTAGAATCAGATATGCGCTATATATTTTGTTGTTGTTATGTGCCATCGAGTCGCTTGTGACTCATAGCAACCCTATGTACAAGAGCCAAGAGCCCTAAATGTCATTCTATCCAGTGCCAACCTCGTAGTCATATATGATTCATTCTGCTTCCTATAATGTGCCATGCTTGTCTCAACAGCAGGGATATTCTTTATAACACTGGATTGCAGACCTGAGCCCTGCTGACCCTCACAGGGCCAAGAGTACTTTAGTGGAAATGGGGATACAAGAGAGATTAACTGTCGTTTCTGGTAGTGGAGATGTGAGAGATAATATGCTTCTGTCTCTTTGAAAATATTCTCTATATTTCTTTTTCTGTTAAGTGCATTGAGTTAAATCAAATTTACAGTAATCTTATGTACAACAGAAATCCTGCCTGATGCAGCTTGCTGGATTCTGCTCACTTGATCCTACTCCATCTTCATAATCTCTGCTGTGCTTAAGCCCTCTGTTGCGGACACTATGCCAATCCATATTGTGGAAGATTCTTGTCTCTTCTGTTCTCCCTATATTTTTCCAAGCAGATCTTTTACTAGGAACTGTTACTATGGAGCATTCTAGCATCACTTCTTCAAGGACAGATTTGTTTCTTCCTTTGACATTACATGGCATATTCAATATTCTTTTGCCAACACTACAGTTCATAGGCATGAATTTTTCTTCATCGTTCCTATTCATTGTTCAACTTTCACATGTTTTAGTTTCTAGAAACATATTTGGGGACTGGGTGTGAACAGAATTGCCTTTCTTTTTCTAAAGATGCTTTGACAAAGAGAACTAAGGATGAACTGGGCTGAGTGGGCAGGTGTTCCCTCCTACCTTCTTGGCTTGTCATATCTGCAGTCACATTTATGAAATATGCCAAGTAACACAACTCATCCCAAATGCCTTCACCTAAATCCTATTCCACCTTTTTCAAGTTCAGGAATCCTAAACCTCATATAGGAAGCTTGGTGGCAAAGTCTAAAGGGAGTTGTGATGCTAACTCAAAAGCTCTATCACTCTGGTAGTTCATTTCCACCTGCTGCCTCTCAGGATAAAGACAGGGAAACTGGTCCTCTGAGATTTATAGCCTTGGAAATTCAATGGAGGGCCAGCAATGAGTAAATTCTGATTTGACAGCAGTTTAATTTAAAGCCTCATATGCTATTTTACCTAGACCAATTTTTTAGTTGCAACATATTGATATAGAGTTGCAGTCAAGAAATACATTCAGAGTCAAGAAAATTCTAGGCAAAAAAAAATTGTGGTATTTTTTAGCTACTTCCTTTTTTATGGAATAAATCACTCAAGTCTTAGACTTTATGTTTCAATGAAAATCTACCTCCAAAAGAGAGCTCTGGTGGCCTAGTGGTAAGAAGCTGCTCTGCAATCCAGACAGCATGTTGTTTGAATCCACTAGCTGCTTCGCAGGAGAAAGATGTGTATTCCCCTCCCCTATGATTAACTGCCTCTGAAAATCACCACAAGTCAGTCTCCTCCCGTGGTGATTGACAGCCTTAGAAACTATGGAAGTTCACCATGAGTAAGAATCAACTAGGCAGCCGTGGGTTTGGTTTTACACTTCAATAGTTGTACTTTTGGAAGCAGGAATGGCATCCTAAACAACATGTCTCTGGAAATTGTATGAACTTTGATGAATGATGATGATTACAGAAAGGCTTCAGACCTTTTGTTCATAGGGTCACTATGAGTCGTGTTTGACTCGATTGCAATCAACACAACAACATATTACAATATAAGTAAAGGCAAAAATTTTGTAATAAATAGAATGGAAATCCCCCGCTTCTGCTCCCACACCTTCTCCTCTTGGACCCCCATAGATGTTTATATAATAATAGTCTTATGTAATATTTGTCCTTATGAAAATGAGTTCACTCAGCATAATGTTCTCCATTGTCTCTTAAGTTATGTAGTATTTTTCAAAATAATTGTTTTCTGAGTGTCATTTTGTATTCCACTGTGTGAATGTATAACAATTTCTCATTCCATTCAGTTGTGGTTGGATGGTTGGGCTGTTTCTATGTTTTTCTGATAGTGAAAAACACTGCTAGACCTATATTTTATGAGAGCTCTGGTACAAAGGTTATACCTCTATGGTGGCTGAAATTCACCAGTAGTTCTAAAGGTAGGAGAAAGATGGACAATCTCCTGCTGTGCAAATGCCTCTTTAAAGTATTAAAATACAAAGATATCATTTTGAGGATCAAAACAACCAATCCAATCCAATGGTATTTTCAATTGTCTACAATCTCCAATATGGATTGAAGCTCAACATCAAAACCCCAAAGATTCTCACCACTGGACCAAATGGCAGCACCATGACATATAGAGAACAGATTGAGATTGTTAACAATTTCAAGTTGTTTAGTTCCACAATTAATACTCTTAGCTCCAGGAGTCAATAAATCAGAAGACAAGTTGCATTCGGTAATCTGCTGTCAGGGATCTCTCCAGAGTGTTGAAGACCAATGATGTCAGTCTAGAGACTAAGGTGTGCCTGATCTAGGGCATGGTCTTCTCAATTACTTGCTATGCATCAGAAAACTGAACAATGACTAAGAATGATAGAAGAATTAATGCCTTTGAGTTGTGGTACAGGAGGAGATTACTGACCAAGACATGGATTTCTAAACAACATGTCTGTCCTGGAAAAGGTGAAACCAAGCTGCTCATTGGAGGCAAGAATTTTGAAGCTCTGTCTCACGTACTTTGGGTGTGTTGCCAGAAGGGACCAGTCCTTAGAGAAGGACATCATGCTTGGAATGATGGAGGGACAATGTGGGAGAGGAAGACCCTGGATGAGACGGATTGACACAGTAACTTGGGCTATGGGAACAGGTATGCTGGGGATGCTTGAGACTGGCTCTGGTTAACAGCTATTGTGCACAGAGTTGCTATGAGTTGAGGTGACTTGATGATACATAACAACAACAACATATGCTTATAACAGCTGAGGAATGAATAAGGAAAACTGAAGAAAAACATATATCTGAATTGTGATGTTGGCAAAGAATACTGACTGCCCAAAGAATGAAGAAACTTGTCTTGGAGAAAGTGCAGTTAGAACGTTCTTTAGTAACAAGGACGGTGAGAATTAATTTCGTGTATTTTGGGCATATATCAGGAGGGATCAGTCTCTGAAGAAGGACAGCATGCTTGGTAAAGTAGAGGGTCAATGGAAAATGACATAAAGATCCTCAGTGAGAGGGCGACGCAGCGCGAGGGCGAGGCCGCCAGACCGGGGAACGCCAGGGGAACGCACCCCGCCGCCCGCTGGGGGAAACGCACGCGGCCGCCTGCCAGACCAGGGGAAACGCACGCGGCCGCCTGCCAGACCGGGGGAACGCCGCCGCCAGACTGGGGAACACCGCTAGAGGGACCCGGAAGAGACCCGGGAAG